TAAATTTACAAATAAATTTTTACAATATCCATTTCCTTTTTAAGCCCCTAATGCACACAACCGTAAATTTAGAAATATGTTTTCATATTATAGTATACCTTAAGGAGCTGTGCAAGTAAACATACTGCTGCAGCCATAAATGAATAGTATAGAATTTACATGAGCAAAAACATAAGTCAAACTACTAAAGTTATGACTACAAAATTTTCCATTCAAATACAAATACCACAGTTAAAGGTTAGAGAAACATAAACTAGAATGAATAAAACATTTTCTTAGTTCATAATTTATGACACCGGCAATGACGTCAAAAGGATAACAAGCTAAAGGTAAAACGGCTACAAGTTTAGTAAGTTGTTAAGATGTTTATAGAAGATAATTTATGGAGATGCTAAAGGTAATTTTCCTATATAACTGTTTACGATTTGTCTGTTTATATTTCTTAGAATAAGAAATTATAGATAGCTCTTTAATATTTCAGATATTTGTTTTTAGCAATAAAAACAAAATAATCTTTTGAGGCAAAGAAACTAGTAACTCAGATACAAAATAACTGTTCAAGGTCAAGGTCAAACATCTAAAGCAAAAGACGTGATATTTACCTTGTGATTTCTTTTTTAACAAAACGCTGTACAACTCATCAAATTTAGAAATATGATCCTTAAGAGAGTTCTAATAAAAAACAAAAATAATTCTACCCTACTAAACAGAAATAAAAATAACAATTTTAAATTGCTCCAAAAAAAAAAAAAGAAAATAAAATAAATAAACTAATTTAATTTACCTTATGAGGTTTTCAATTTCCAAAATCCTTTAATTTAAATTTATTTCATATTTAATAAACCACAAAAACATATGTAAATTTTTCTAATAATATTTTAATACTTAAATAAAGTTTTCTAATGTAAAAATTGTAAACACAAAACTCTCAACATGTAATTAAAATATCTAATTTTAAATGTGTAATATTTTTAATTATCAAATGTTTTTAAATACTCGTATTGACCAGCATTTATTTGTGGTTGAAACAAATCTAAAAACCTCAAAAATATACAAATGTAAAAATTTCCAATAAAACCATAAAATTCTAGGAAGATGGGCAAAATAACTGAAATTGTTTATGTGTGCATGACAAAATTGAAAAGTTTTAATTTGTATATGAGAATATTATATTACATGTTAAGTACTATTTGGGCATTGTTTAACTAGAACAGAACGAGAACTGACTAGAACTGAACTAGAACTGAACTAGAACTGAACTAGAACTGAACTAGAACTGAACTAGAACTGAACTAGAACTGACTAGAACTGAACTAGAACTGAACTAGAAGAACTGAACTAGAACTGAACTAGAACTGAACTAGAAACTGAACTAGAACTGAACTAGAACTGAACTAGAACTGAACTAGAACTGAACTAGAACTGAACTAGAACTGAACTAGAACTGAACTAGAACTGAACTAGAACTGAACTAGAAACTGAACTAGACTGAACTAGACTGAACTAGAACTGAACTAGAACTGAACTAGAACTGAACTAGAACTGAACTAGAACTGAACTAGAACTGAACTAGAAACTGAACTAGAACTGAACTAGAAACTGAACTAGAACTGAACTAGAACTGAACTAGAATGAACTAGAACTGAACTAGAACTGAACTAGAACTGAACTAGAACTGAACTAGAACTGAACTAGAACTGACTAGAACTGAACTAGAACTGAACTAGAAACTGAACTAGAACTGAACTAGAAACTGAACTAGAACTGAACTAGAACTGAACTAGAACTGAACTAGAACTGAATAGACTGAAACTAGAACTGAACTAGAACTGAACTAGAACTGAACTAGAACTGAACCCTAGAACTGAACTAGAACTGAACTAGAACTGAACTAGAACTGAACTAGAACTGAACTAGAACCTGAACTAGAAAGAACTGAACCACAGCACCGACACTGAACTAGAACAGAACTAGAACAGGAACTCGAACAGAACTAGAACGAACTAGAACAGAACTAGAACAGAATAGAAACAGAACTAGAACAGAACTAGAACAGAACTAGACAGAACTAGAACAGAACTAGAACAGAACTAGAACAGAACTAGAACAAACTAGAACAGAACTAGAACAGAACTAGAAAAGAACTAGAACAGACTAGAACAGAACTAAAACAGAACTAGAACAGAACTAGAACAGAACTAGAAACAGAACTAGAACAACTAGAACAAACTAGAACAGAACTAGAACAGAACTAGAACAGAACTAGGAGACAGAACTAGAACTGAGAACAGAACTAGAACGAACTAGAACAGACTAGAGCAGGACTAGAACTAGAACTTGAACTAGAACAGAACTAGAGCAGAACTAGAACTAGAACTTGAACTAGAACAAACTAGAACTAGAACTAGAACAGAACAGAACTAGAACAGAACTAGAACTAGAACAGAACTAGAACAGAACTAGAACAGAACTAGAACAGAACTAGAACAGAACTAGAACAGAACTAGAACAGAACTGGAACAGATCTAGAACAAACTATGAACAGAACTAGAACAGAACTAGAACAGAACTAGAACAGAACTAGAACAGAACTAGAACAGACTAGAACAGAACTAGAACAGAACTAGAACAGAACAGAACAAACTAGAACAGAACTAGAACAGAACTAGAACGAACTATAACATAACTAGACAGAACGAGAACGAGAACTAGAACATGACTAGACTATGACATATGACTATGACTAACTTGACTAGACTATGACTAGACTATGACTAGACTATGACTAGACTAGACTATGACTAGACTATGACTAGACTATGACTAGACTATGACTAGACTATGACTAGACTATGACTAGACTATGACTAGACTATGACTAGACCATGACTAGACTATGACTAGACTATGACTAGACTATGACTAGACTATGACTAGACTATGACTAGGCTATGACTAGGCTATGACTAGACTATGACTAGGCTATGACTAGACTATGAGTAGACTATGACTAGACTATGACTAGACTATGACTAGACTAGACTATGACTAGACTATGACTAGACTATGACTAGACTATGACTAGACTATGACTAGACTATGACTAGACTATGACTAGACTATGACTAGACTATGACTAGACTATGACTAGACTATGACTAGACTATGACTAGACTATGACTAGACTATGACTAGACTATGACTAGACTATGACTAGACTATGACTAGACTATGACTAGACTATGACTAGACTATGACTAGACTATGACTAGACTATGACTAGACTATGACTAGACTATGACTAGACTAGACTATGACTAGACTATGACTAGACTATGACTAGACTATGACTAGACTATGACTAGACTATGACTAGACTATGACTAGACTATGACTAGACTATGACTAGACTATGACTAGACTATGACTAGACTATGACTAGACTATGACTAGACTATGACTAGACTATGACTAGACTAGACTAGACTATGACTAGACTATGACTAGACTATGACTAGACTATGACTAGACTATGACTAGACTATGACTAGACTATGACTAGACTATGACTAGACTATGACTAGACTATGACTAGACTATGACTAGACTATGACTAGACTATGACTAGACTATGACTAGACTATGACTAGACTATGACTAGACTATGACTAGACTATGACTAGACTATGACTAGACTATGACTAGACTATGACTAGACTATGACTAGACTATGACTAGACTATGACTAGACTATGACTAGACTATGACTAGACTATGACTAGACTATGGCTAGACTATGACGAGATTTACAACAAAATAGCTTTAAAATTTATAAACTTTTAAATTTAATAAATCATAAGCATGCCTTGATAATATCTGAGAAATCACGAAAATATGAAAAGGGAAATTGAATAAAACTTCAAGCCCTTCTAATATGATATAGAATTTTACATACTTATACTTGTACTTAACCCAAATAATAAACAAACCTCTCTCTAACACACTCCAACTAAAACCGAGTAGCGAGTAAGCATGGGCAAGTGACATAAATGGTAATGGCATAAAAACGGATATTCAAATTAATATCAAACATCTCTACTTTAAATTTCTAATTTCATTCGTTAATAAAATGCCAGAGGCAAACGACTATCACAATTTTTGATATTGCTAAATATACCACGTCATCATCATCACACCACCATCAGCAGCAGCAACAACATTCAGCTGGTCATAGTGGTAGCAGCAGTCAGAACCAATCCCAACAACATTCACCTCAAACACCTCATGCTGCTAGCCAGATTGCAACTACAGCCTGTCAATTGACAATACCAGGCAATAGTCATAATAGTAACAATACCAACAGCAGCAGCAATAGCATTAATACCAGTAACAGCCATTCAAATCTAAGCCACCTGGCTGTCCCTACACGAAATCCAAGTGAGGAAGAGTACCAGCAGTTTATGTCGGGTGCCAACTTACCACGCTCTTCATGTGTCAGTTTTCAAAGTGAAATATTAATGCTGGATTTGATAAATGGCGAAATCAATGAGTTTGTCGAAAGGTATTGTTTTTGACATTGAAGGGGGTGGTTTACAGGACATGTAAATTTATAATTTAATTGGACATTTGTAAGTGTTTGAAGAGCAAAATGTTTGTATGTGTGCTGAGAAATTGAAAATAGAAAGGGTGAGAAAAATAATGAAAGTGGAATTGAATTTTTTTAGAGAAACAGTACAAAGTCATCCTAAGTATTTTACAAATTAAAATTGTCTTGTGTAGTTTGGGAAAGTATTCATTTTATCGAATTAATAACAATCATACGTTAAGGTGTACCTAGCTAGTAAAGAAAAAAAATAAAATTTAGGTAATTTAAAAATATCCTAAAACAACTTCTCCCACAAATATCTGGAATTTTTCTACCAAAATGTAGTTAAAAGCTATAAGCTGAAAATTAAGCAAAAACCTTCAATAACATTTATCTTTTCTCCTCTTTCCTCTAGAGCACTACACAAAGATGACTATGGCACGCAGCGTGTCTATAAGAAAACCTCACCCAATTGCGTTTTAACACTGTACTTACCCTCACGTGAAATTACTTTGTCTGGCAGCAGTCCCTCAATATTGCGTGGCATTGTGTTTGTTGATCCAAAGGCCATACAGGGATATCGTGTCTATGCGCAATTGACACTAACATTTCGGTAAGTAATTATTGATAGTACTGAAATAAAAATGTAAAAAAAAAATACTTTTAAGTTGAAATAATGTACAGCATATTTCAAGGTTAATGAATATAATGTAAATATTTTATGAGAATATTAATTAAAAATCGACTGATATTAATAAAGGGAAAAATATTTATTAAACATGAATATTAAAAAAAATCTAATATTTCAAGGCAGTTACTATATCATTTGTTAAAAGGAGGTTTGGTTATTTTGATCTGTAAAAAAAATTGCGTTAGATTCAATTCAATTTTTCCAAAACCTTAATAATCATTTCTAGTTAAGACACAGGTATAGCAGCTCACAACAGGACAGATAAAGGCCTCGGTGTATTTCTTCGGATTTGATACGTCCCTCTTTCCTAACTAACTAACTAACTAACTACTAACTAACTAACTAACTAACTAACTAACTAACTAACTAACTAACTAGACTAACTACTAAACTAACTAACTAACGAACTCACTAACTAATAACTAACTAACTAACTACTAACTAACTAACTAACTAACTAACTAACTAACGAACTAACTAACTAACTACAACTAACTACTAACTAACTACTACTAACTAACTAACTAACTAACTAACTAACTAACTAACTACTAACTACTAACTACTAACTAACTACCTAACTAACTAACTAACTAACTAACTAACTACTACTAACTAACTAACTAACTAACTAACTAACTAACTAACTAACGAACTAACTAACTAACTAACTACTAATAACTAACTAACTAACTAACTAACTACTACTAACTAACTAACTAACTAACTACTAACTAACTAACTAACTAACTAACTAACTAACTAACTAACTAACTAACTAACTAACTAACTAACTAACTAACTAACTAACTAACTAACTAACTAACTAACTAACTAACTAACTAACTAACTAACTAACTAACTAACTACTAACTAACTAACTACTAACTAACTAACTACTAACTAACTAACTAACTAACTAACTAACTAACTAACTAACTAACTAACTAACTAACTAACTAAACTAACTAACTAACTAACTAACTAACTAACTAAAATAACTAACAACTAATCTAACTAACTAACTAACTACTAACTAACTAACTAACTAACTACTAACTAACTAACTAACTAACTAACCTAACTAACTAACTAACTAACTAACTAACTAACTAACTAACTAACTATACTAACTAACACTAACCCTTAACTAACACTAATAACTAACTAACTAACTAACTAACTAACTAACTAACTAACTAACTAACTAACTAACTAACTACTAACTAAACTAACTAACTAACTAGACTAACTAACTAACTAACTAACTACACTAACTAACTAACTAACTAACTAACTAACTAACTAACTAACTAACTAACTAACTAACTAACTAACTAACCTAACTAACTAACGAACACTAACTAACTAACTAACTACTAACTAACTAACTAACTAACTAACTACTAACTAACTAACTAACTAATAACTAACTAACTAACTAACTAACTAACTAACTAACTACTAACTAACTAACTAACTACTAACTAACTACTAACTACTAACTAACTAACTAACTAACTAACTAACTAACTACTAACTAACTAACTAACTAACTAACTAACTAACTAACTAACTCACTAACTAACTACTAACTAAACTAACTAACTAACTAACTACTAACTAACTAACTAAAACTAACTAACTAACTAACGAACTAACTAACTACCTAACTAACTAACTAACTAACTAACTAACTAACTAACTAACTAACTACCTAACTAACTAACTAACTAACATAACTAACTAACTAACTAACTAACTAACTAACTAACTAACTAACTAACTAACTACTAACTAACTAACTACTAACTACACTAACTAACTAACTACTAACTACACTAACTAACTACTAACTAACTAACTAACTAACTAACTACTACATAACTAAACTAACTAACTACTAACTAACTAACTACTACCTAACTAACTAACTAACTAACTAACCTAACTAACTAACTAACTAACTAACTAAACTAACTAACTAACTAATTAATTAATTAAGAAAACTCAAAAAGTACTAGCCTTTTTAAGGATTTCCATTTAATCATGTTTCATAATCGAATGTTCAATACTTAAAGCAAAAAAACAATTCTTAGGACTCTGTCTCAAAAAGTCGCTTTTGTAGATTCTCATTTGCTTAGAACTCTATATATTTAATTTCACTTTTCTAAGCACAAAAAGTACTTCAAGAGCAAAAAAGTACCAAAAATTAAATTCCATTACAATAATTAATGTTACTTAAAACTACCAATTCTTAAAATTTTATCGAAATTGTCTTAATAAATTTGAATAAAATTCAATTTCCCCTTTTTACCACCCTTTTGGTACTTTTTTCTCCCTGCGATTGAAATAAAAATCTTATTTCACAAAGTTGAGTACAGCAGCCCATCAATAAATAGGACAGAAAATTTTAGTTAGTTAGATAGTTTCAAGGAGGATGTATATACATCAAATACGAAGAAATACACCTAGGCCTCTATCGGGCCTGTTGAGCGCTCCTTAACCAGTGCCTCAGGTGGGAATCGAACCCACCACCTCCAGTCTACCAGACTAGAACAGTAACCACTAACCTACCGTAGGCCACACAGAGTATTTTATGAAAGAAGTTTAATAAATATGTACAATTTTCATCTCAGAATATTCAGAAAGTACTCAATAGGTACTATTTTTCGACCAGTTTCGAATACATTAAAAATTGTATTTCTATGTTACATGTTTAAACCAGTGAAGGTTGTAAGAAGAAAGTACCATAATAAAGTTTTTACTCAGAAAACGGATAAAATTTCAAAAAAGTTCCTGACACCTATCGAATTATTTTTTAAACGTACAACGATAAGTATTAAAGTTTTGTTGTACCTTTTTTAGGGTATATGTGGTTAAAGAATCTAGCCATTTTTACTCTTTCTGATAGGAAAAGAATGTTGTGTTCACATTTGCACTTTATAGTTTCAATTTTATATACATATAGAGAAGATACATTAGAAAACTTCCTTGTTATACCCTACACTGGGTATTATGTGTTTTCTGCAGATGTTTGCAACACCCAATAATAACCATTAAAAAATGAGCTTCCATCCATCCATTTATCAGTCTGTCTGTCCGTCTGACTTTCTGTCTGTATGTTTGTCTGTCCGTCTGTATGTCTGTCTGTCTGTCTGTCTGTCTGTCTGTCTGTCAGTCTGCCTGTCTTTTGTCTGTGTGTCTCTCTGTCTGTCCGTCTGCCTGTCCATGTCGCTAGTTTTAAGGTAATTTGATTAAATTCGTTTCTTAAACCTAGGATGAACTGGTTGAAGGATCAGCCTATATATTGTCCCTATATGAGGCCTCTTTCAGAAAATCGCTTTTCATCAACAAACTGTTTAAATATTTAACATTAAAGTAGACACAATTTAAGATACGTATAACTAGTAAGGCGTATTATATGTTTCTTCAATTTATGAAAATACATTTAAATAAATTTGTCTGCATATTTCAATTCTAATTTACTGCCTTTTTCATTAACTCCCTTTAATTGTTTGCCTTAATAACTGAAACTCAATTAATTAGTAAACATGATGTTTTGGTGAAAGCCCTATAGGCAAAATAACGAAAAAATAACAAATATTCAAGGTATTGCTTTAATTATTCAAACAATTTCAAATATTTGCTCACATTATCTATAACATTCTCTCAAACCCTTTCACAAAACAATCACAAAGTAATCAAATTCCTTGTTATTTTACTGCGAACAAAAACACATTTCTATACTTGAACACTCAATTAAATAAAGTAAATTATTGATTTTTTTCTCTTCAAACAGTCAGACTGTTTCCTGCTGGTAACTTGGCAGTAAAGCTTGTTATATGTATGTACGTAGTACAAGTATGAAAAGAAAAAGACTGCAAACATGATTAAAAACGTTTTATAATAGAAAAGTTTTACTTTTAACCTTTATTAATGTTTCACATTTTTTTCTTTATTCTGTTCTTTTCTTGTTTTCTTTTTTGCAAAATGCATTTAGTTATGGTCGTGAGGATGAGGAAGTAATGGGTTTAAGGTTTTGTAATGAGGCTATCATGTCATTGCATCAAATATGGCCCAGAAATGAAGAGCCCAGCAAGGACTCATTAAGTCCTTTGCAGGTAAGTTGTGTTAAAGAAATTTTTATTTTTTTAACTAAATGAAAAGAAAATATTTAATATTAAATTATTTAAATTATCACATCTAAAACTATGTATGTGTTTGTATTATTTAAAATTTTCCTTTTTTATAAAATTTTCCTTCTTCTCGGAATTAATTATTTTGTTTTCTTTTTATATTTTTACATTGAAATGTTTAAATTTCATTAATGTTTATTTCTTTTAATAATTTCCATATACATTTCTAATCACTGTTTCTCTTTTCTTTGTTTCATTTATATAGGAAGCCCTTTTGAAACGTTTAGGCGATGGCGCCCATCCCTTTACTCTGACATTGACAGCTCAGGCACCACCCAGCGTACAACTAGTACCAGCCAAACGTTACTATGGTGCCCCCATTGGCACCAGCTACGATGTTAGATGTTTCATTGGTATGTATGTACTTGTATATGTATGTATATGTAACAAGTTTATGTTTCCGTTTTTTTTTTTTTTTTTTTTTTTTTTGTATTATTTTCAGTCAAACTTTTTTTCTTGTTAATAAATTTGTATCAAAAAACATACGTATTTAATTAAAAAATCAAACAAAAAGTTAAGTATTTATAATAAAGAGGGAAATATGTTGGTTCATGTTGAACAAGGAGAAAAAAAAATTTCATTTAAAATTCTGTATATATGTATGTATATACAAACACACATATATAAGAACTTATAACATGATATACTGACTAAATACTCTTTAGAGTATTAACACTTCGTTAGCGAATTGTTAAAATGGAACAGAATTAAAAATTTTAAAAAGTACCAAAAAGTTCCCTTTTTTCAATATTTATAACTAAACTAGGACCGAATAAGAACTGAACTGAACCAGAAAAAACTAGAACTGAACTAGAGCTGAAATAGAACTGAACAAGAATTGAACTAGAACTGAACTGGAGCTGAACTAGAACTGAACTAAACTGAACTAGAACTGAACTAGAACTGAACTAGAACTGAACTAGAACTGAACTAGAACTGAACTAGAACTGAACTAGAACTGAACTAGAACTGAACTAGAACTGAACTAGAACTGAACTAGAACTGAACTAGAACTGAACTAGAACTGAACTAGAACTGAACTAGAACTGAACTAGAACTGAACTAGAAGAACTGAACTAGAAACTGAACTAGAACTAGAACTGAACTAGAACTGAACTAGAACTGAACTAGAACTGAACTAGAACTGAACTGGAGCTGAACTAGAACTGAACTAAACTGAACTAGAACTGAACTAGAACTGAACTAGAACTGAACTAGAACTGAACTAGAACTGAACTAGAACTGAACTAGAACTGAACTAGAACTGAACTAGAACTGAACTAGAACTGACTAGAACTGAACTAGAACTGAAGTACTAGAACTGAACTAGAACTGAACTAGAACTGAACTAGAACTGAACTAGAACTGAACTGAACTGAACTAGAACTGAACTAGACTGAACTAGAACTGAACTAGAACTGAACTAGAACTGACTAGAAACTGAACTAGAACCTGAACTAGAACTGAACTAGAACTGAACTAGAACTGAACTAGAACTGAACTAGAACTGAACTAGAACTGAACTAGAACTGAACTAGAACTGAACTAGAACTGAAACTAGAACTGAACTAGAACTGAACCTGAACTAGAACTGAACTAGAACTGAACTAGAACTGAACTAGAACTTGACTACTAGAACTGAACTAGAACTGAACTAGAACTGAACTAGAACTGAACTAGAACTGAACTAGAACTGAACTAGAACCTGAACTAGAACTGAACTAGAACTGAACTAGAACTGAACTAGAACTGAACTAGAACTGAACTAGAACTGAAACTAGAACTGAACTAGAACTGAACTGACTAGAACTGAACTAGAACTGAACTAGAACTGAACTAGAACTGAACTAGAACTGAACTAGAACTGAACTAGAACTGAACTAGAACTGAACTAGAACTGAACTAGAACTAGAACTGAACTAGAAGAACTGAACTAGAACTGAACTAGAACTGAACTAGAACTGAACTAGAACTGAACTAGAACTGAACTAGAACTGAACTAGAACTGAACTAGAACTGAACTAGAACTGAACTAGAACTGAACTAGAACTGAACTAGAACTGAACTAGAACTGAACTAGAACTGAACTAGAACTGAACTAGAACTGAACTAGAACTGAACTAGAACTGAACTAGAACTGAACTAGAACTGAACTAGAACTGAACTAGAACTGAACTAGAACTGAACTGAACTGAACTAGAACTGAACTAGAACTGAACTAGAACTGAACTAGAACTGAACTAGAACTGAACTAGAACTGAACTAGAACTGAACTAGAACTGAACTAGAACTGAACTAGAACTGAACTAGAACTGAACTAGAACTGAACTAGAACTGAACTAGAACTGAACTAGAACTGAACTAGAACTGAACTAGAACTGAACTAGAACTGAACTAGAACTGAACTATAACTGAACTAGAACTGAACTAGAACTGAACTAGAACTGAACTAAAACTGAACTAGAACTGAACTAGAATTGAACTAAAACTGAACTAGAACTGAACTAGAACTGAACTAGAACTGAACTAGAACTGAACTAGTTTATCGAGTGAAAAACCTAAAGGAGTAATGGCCGTCTGTTGAGATCCAATCGATTGGACTACACATGCTTCTGATTAATTTAGTAACTGCGTAATTTACTCGTCTATTAATAAGAAATATTTTTTTCCGAAATATTTCTTTAACATTTGCTGACATTCCAGAAATGTTGAAAAATAATAATCAGATTTACCTCAATACACTTCCCAACAGCCTGAGCTTTTTATTTATAGGTATAATCCCGCAGGCTTTAAAACCTTTTATTTCTTTTACTTATCATAAAATCACTTTTCATTTCCTTTGCCACAATTTACATTTATATGCATTAAATATATTTTAAAAAGTGAAAAAATTCAACATACATACATACATGATTAAAAATTGTTTAATAAAGGATATTTAATATCCGCCTGATATTTAAGTTATTTTAAAATTTCCATGGAAAGGAGCAATTACATAGAAATATACATAGAGATTATGCGGGAAAAAAAACGCTAATGAAAATGTATTACACAGGCGGAGGTAGTTTTGTTAGAAACCTTAAAATAAAGTCTAGATATATTCTGTTAATAATCTCGTTATTGTCAAGACAAAGTCTAGTCATAGTCTAGTCATAGTCTAGTCATAGTCCTAGTCATAGTCTAGTCATAGTCCAGTCATAGTCCTAGTCATAGTCTAGTCTAGTCTAGTCATAGTCCTAGGTCATAGTCTAGTCATAGTCTAGTCATAGTCTAGTCATAGTCTAGTCATAGTCTAGTCATAGTCTAGTCATAGTCTGTCATAGTCTAGTCATAGTCTAGTCATAGTCTAGTCATAGTCTAGTCATAGTCTAGTCATAGTCTAGTCATAGTCTAGTCATAGTCTAGTTCATAGTCTAGTCATAGTCTAGTCATAGTCTAGTCATTAGTCTAGTCATAGTCTATTAGTCTAGTCTAGTCATAGTCTAGTCATAGTCTAGTCATAGTCTAGTCATAGTCTAGTCATAGTCTAGTCATAGTCTAGTCATAGCTAGTCATAGTCTAGTCATAGTCTAGTCATAGTCTAGTCATAGTCTAGTCATAGTCTAGTCATCTAGTCAGTCTAGTCATAGTCTAGTCATAGTCTAGTCATAGTCTAGTCATAGTCTAGTCATAGTCTAGTCATAGTCTAGTCATAGTCTAGTCATAGTCTAGTCATAGTCTAGTCATAGTCTAGTCATAGTCTAGTCATAGTCTAGTCATAGTCTATAGTCTGTCATAGTCTAGTCATAGTCTAGTCATAGTCTAGTCATAGTCTAGTCATAGTCTAGTCATATCTAGTCATAGTCTAGTCATAGTCTAGTCATAGTCTAGTCATAGTCTAGTCATAGTCTAGTCATAGTCTAGTCATAGTCTAGTCATAGTCTAGTCATAGTCTAGTCATAGTCTAGTCATAGTCTAGTCATAGTCTAGTCATAGTCTAGTCATAGTCTAGTCATAGTCTAGTCATAGTCTAGTCATAGTCTAGTCATAGTCTAGTCATAGTCTAGTCATAGTCTAGTCATAGTCTAGTCATAGTCTAGTCATAGTCTAGTCATAGTCTAGTCATAGTCTAGTCATAGTCTAGTCATAGTCTAGTCATAGTCTAGTCATAGTCTAGTCATAGTCTAGTCATAGTCTAGTCATAGTCTAGTCATAGTCTAGTCATAGTCTAGTCATAGTCTAGTCATAGTCTAGTCATAGTCTAGTCATAGTCTAGTCATAGTCTAGTCATAGTCTAGTCATAGTCTAGTCATAGTCTAGTCATAGTCTAGTCATAGTCTAGTCATAGTCTAGTCATAGTCTAGTCATAGTCCTGGCATAGTCTATCAATAACCTTCCAGCTTGTTTTTTAAATTGAACAAAGAGAAGTAATTCTGTGATCCAGACCGCGACCCCAAATCGTTTATATAGCAGTTATAACTTTGAAACAGTTAATTTTAAAAACTTTTCTTGCAGGAAAACATTAATTAGTTAAATTATATACCGCGCCAGCAATAATGTTTGTATCCTGTGGTAAATGAAATCTACGTCCTTGGCCAAGGAAATATGTTTTCCACAGCAAATATATTTAAATTTTGTAAAATGAATGTACTATGTGTACTTTTTAAAACACATCTCTGGGATATGTTGTATATGAGTCTGTGGTCCTTTGGCACGTGTACAACTGCCAACTGTCTAGCTAAAGGGCATTAAAGTTTTTGCCAGGAAACGCTAAACAAAGCCAAATAAAGAGTTTTTTTGTTGCAAATAGAAACGTTTATTGAAAGAGGAAAAAAGTTAAAACAAAAAAAGGACCTTAGGTTTTAGAAATTGTTTTCATTTAATTTAAAACCCAGCAATAAAAATAACTTTGTGGTTTACGAAGAAAGGAAATTGTTAACATTTTATTAAAATAGTTTTGCTAAATAAATAAATTTATTTATTTTTCTTTTTAGCTGACAAATCCGATGAAAAATTTCATCGACGTGCTTCTGTGAAAATGGGTGTACGTGTGATTTATCGCACAGATGTCTTCAATCATGGCATCACTGGTCCGGAAAATTTCGCCGCCTTAGTAAACAATCCAGTATCCTCACCTCCACCCCAGGCTATGACCTCTGCGAATACTCATTCTACTATAGCTTCCTCTTTAAGTACTCATACCACCATAAGTGAAACTCAATCAGATACAACGGCTCATCATCTACACCAGCAGCAACATCTGCAACTACAGGAAACAGCAAGTGCTGAAACGTCTTTGCATGCTACGAATGCCCATGAAACACGTTCATTTGCTAAAGTTCGTAAATCTGATAGGGGTGACTCATTTCCTAAGCTACGTTTGTCACCGAAAACATTTCGTTTTAGCAATCGTTTTGGTCGCAGCAAAAGTGAGGTGGAAAAATGTCCCAATGATCCGTTTCATAATTATAGTAAATCGTTTCAAGAGGTAAGTTTACAAAGAAAATTATAAAATAAATCATATAAATATTTCACTACTTTAGGCCCACTGTATTTTAAAAATGTATATATTGTGTTAAATCGATTTTAAAGTTTTATTTCTTCTCTATCTCCATGCCAAGTTTGGTATCTATTGAATAATTTAATATTAAGTTTTTTATTACTTTCTATTTTTACTTTTATTATTCCCACAGTACGTATGATTAATATTAATTCAGAGGTGTTATGCGAAAATTAACTATAACTTTTATAATTCTTAAAGGATTTTTATGTTTAATATGGCAAATTAAAGCTTAGATAATAAGCTATAAACTTCTTAAACACATCTCATAAAATATTAAAATTTTTAAGTAATAAGAACTGCTGTTTCTAAGAATTATTAATAAAATAAAGTTTTCCAATAATTTTTCAAGACCTTTATTCATAATTGTAACCTTTACTTATACACATTTTACTTTACTAACTATTACTAAAAATATTAATAATTAATTGAAATTGTTAAAAGTTTTTATTAAACAAATTTTCTTTCTCTTCAACATATTTCCAGTATGACAGTGTTTGCACCACTAACTTAAGTGGTGGCCCTCAGGGTGCTGTTGATAAACCCTTCCTACTGCAAGATGGTCGTGTGGGTTTACGTGCCAGTTTGGATAAATCCTGGTATACGCATGGTGAGGATGTTTGTGTCACCATAAATATACGCAATGACAGTAGAAAGACTGTAAGAAAAATTCGTGTAAGTAAAACATTTGTTCGCCATTTTTTTCCATTTTAAAGATGAATAGTTAAGCTGTTGCAAAATTAATGGTAAAAAATGTTTTCCTTGAAGTAGTGAGAGTTTTAGTTGAAAGAAAAATTTAAAGAATTTTCTTTATGATATTTAAAATATTGAATATGGTGAAATGTTTAAATTTTTAATCTTAATTTAAATATAAAATGTTTGCTGGTTTAAATACATTATATAAATGCTGCAAAAATGAAACTATTTTTAAACAAGTGTATACATTAAATAAAAAAGGGGATTAAACCAGTTATGTTAATGTTTGTTAAATACATTAAACAAAAGTAACCTGGTAACCGGGTACAATGTAGAACATTAAAAACAATAAAATTTTATTATTTTGTATAATTTTTCACACACAAAAGCATATGGATAAAACAGACTTGATTTCCGCAATTAAAAGTGTATATACTGTTAAGCATATTAAAAATGTATTTAAAAAAAAAGAAAAAAGGTTTAGTCTAACGTTAAAATAAAACCATAGTGATTCTGGTAAACAATACAATGGAATTGGCCTAAAAACTTCACACTAACTTCACAGTGTTGTTCAGAACATAACTCACTTGATGTTGACAAAATGCAAAAGCGATATTTGAACTTGGTTCTAGTTCAGTTCTATTTCTATTCTAGTTCAGTTCTAGTTAGTTCTAGTTCAGTTCTAGTTCAGTTCTAGTTCAGTTCTAGTCAGTTCTAGTTCAGTTCTAGTTCAGTTCTAGTTCAGTTCTAGTTCAGTTCTAGTTCAGTTCTAGTTCAGTTCTAGTTCAGTTCTAGTTCAGTTCTAGTTCAGTTTCTAGTTCAGTTCTAGTTCAGTTCTAGTTCAGTTCTAGTTCAGTTCTAGTTCAGTTCTAGTTCAGTTCTAGTTCAGTTCTAGTTCAGTTCTAGTTCAGTTCTAGTTCAGTTCTAGTTCAGTTCTAGTTCAGTTCTAGTTCAGTTCTAGTTCAGTTCTAGTTCAGTTTCTAGTTCAGTTCTAGTTCAGTTCTAGTTCAGTTCTAGTTCAGTTCTAGTTCAGTTCTAGTTCAGTTCTAGTTCAGCTCTAGTTCAGTTCTAGTTCAGTTCTAGTTCAGTTCTAGTTCAGTTCTAGTTCAGTTCTAGTTTCAGTTCTAGTTCAGTTCTAGTTCAGTTCTAGTTTAGTTCTAGTTCAGTTTTAGTTCAGTTCTAGCTCCATTCTAGTTCAGTTCTAGTTCAGTTCTAGTTCAGTTAGTCAGTTCTAGTTCAGTTCTAGTTCAGTTCTAGTTCAGTTCTAGTTCAGTTCTAGTTCAGTTCTAGTTCAGTTCTAGTTCAGTTCTAGTTCAGTTTCTAGTTCAGTTCTAGTTCAGTTCTAGTTCAGTTCTAGTTCAGTTCTAGTTCAGTTCTAGTTCAGTTCTAGTCAGTTCTAGTTCAGTTCTAGTTCAGTTCTAGTTCAGTTCTAGTTCAGTTCTAGTTCAGTTCTAGTTCAGTTCTAGTTCAGTTCTAGTTCAGTTCTAGTTCAGTTCTAGTTCAGTTCTAGTTCAGTTCTAGTTCAGTTCTAGTTCAGTTCTAGTTCAGTTCTAGTTCAGTTCTAGTTCAGTTCTAGTTCAGTTCTAGTTCAGTTCTAGTTCAGTTCTAGTTCAGTTCTAGTTCAGTTCTAGTTCAGTTCTAGTTCAGTTGTAGTTCAGTTCTAGTTAATTTCTATTTCAGTTATGGTTTAATACCAAGTACACTTAATACATATTCCTATCTTTTTTACAAGCCTTAACATATGCCATATTTAGTTTGTTAAGCAAAGCCTCAGATTATGCTTCAAATAAGTTTTTTTTATATTTTTAGAATTTGTATTTTAGTCTTTTGTAGCCAGTTTTTAAAATTAAATTTTTTGTTTGTTGTAGAACTTTAAGCTTTTGCAACAATTTTCCATAGAAATGTTTTAATATGATAAATGGTCCAATATTTGTATACAACTCTTCACATTGTCTACTATGATAATGTTGTTTAAATATTGGTTCTTCTTCTTTTCAAACAATTACTCAAATCCCTTTTGCTTTCTTTATAACAAAACCGTAGTCCTCAACAGTTGTACAAACAAGAACGAAAACAAGAATTTTTACATGTTCTCACAACAGCCTGAAAACATACTGTAGATTTATAAATTCAATGTTTTTTTAACCACTTAACAGTTTTTCCACTGGTGATTGTATTCTTTCATTTGTTTGCTCGAAAAAAATATGTACATTTAAAATGGGTTACAAAGCAAATATCAAAAATTTATGCAAATAGAATTTGAAAAAGAAAAACACGCAAATCGCCTTAATATAATAAAGCTTTTAGGCGTAAGTGCAAATAAATAGTAAATGTTTTGGCATAAAATTATAAAAAGATATTTAAAGATTTTAATAAATATAAATATTATATTTAGAAAAGAGCGCTTTTAAGTTTAGGTACTTTATTCTTTCCCAGAAAATTTGATACGTTTTCTTAATTATTAAAGAATCTCCTAATTAATTTAATTGATACATCTTTCATATTTATTTATTTTTTTCTTAGCTTGGCATTTTCTAAATGTTTATTTTTAAACATTTCTTTAATTTATTTTAATTTTCCTTACATTTCCTGCTACGTCTCTGTTGTATTGAATTTATGTTATTCAACATTATTTGCTTTGCGTGTTTTCTTTGAAAATTTCCGGCTCCTTTCACTTGTCTTCAATAACAGCAGGAAATGTACTTTTGCTTTCTCTTGAAAAAAATAAAACTTGTATTTTCTTATTAAAATAATGAAAACCTTAAAGTTTTAAGAATGAAATAAATGGAAGAATTATGTGAACAAATATTATTGTGGAACGTGCAAAGTTGTAGTGTTTTAAACTCTACCTTTTTTTTAAAAAAGGATTTTTAAATGGCAAATCATACTTTGCAAACTGGAGCAACCACTTAACTATTTTCTTAGGAAAATATTCATAAGGTTTTTATACACTAAAGCACTGCATTGGAATCATAATATTCTGATAAAGCAGATCAAGTTAGTTCCGTTCTAGTTCAGTTTTAGTTCTGTTCTAGTTCAGTTCTAGTTCAGTTCTAGTTCAGTTCTAGTTCAGTTCTAGTTCAGTTCTAGTTCAGTTCTAGTTCAGTTCTAGTTCAGTTCTAGTTCAGTTCTAGTTCAGTTCTAGTTCAGTTCTAGTTCAGTTCTAGTTTAGTTCTAGTTCAGTTCTAGTTCAGTTCTAGTTCAGTTCTAGTTCAGTTCTAGTTCAGTTCTAGTTCAGTTCTAGTTCAGTTCTAGTTCAGTTCTAGTTCAGTTCTAGTACAGTTCTAGTTTAGTTTTCGTTCAGCTCCAGTTCTGTTCTAGTTCAAGCAGTTCAGTTCTAGTTCAAGCAGTTCAGTTCTAGTTTAGTTCTAGTTCAGTTCTAGTTCAGTTTCTAGTTCAGTTCTAGTTCAGTTCTAGTTCAGTTCTAGTTCAGTTCTAGTTCAGTTCTAGTTCAGTTCTAGTTCAGTTCTAGTTCAGTTCTAGTTCAGTTCTAGTTCAGTTCTAGTTCAGTTCTAGTTCAGTTCTAGTTCAGTTCTAGTTCAGTTCTAGTTCAGTTCTAGTTCAGTTCTAGTTCAGTTCTAGTTCAGTTCTAGTTCAGTTCTAGTTCAGTTCTAGTTCAGTTCTAGTTCAGTTCTAGTTCAGTTCTAGTTCAGTTCTATTTAGTTCAGTTCTAGTTCAGTTCTAGTTCAGTTCTAGTTCAGTTCTAGTTCAGTTCTAGTTCAGTTCTAGTTCAGTTCTAGTTCAGTTCTAGTTCAGTTCTAGTTCAGTTCTAGTTCAGTTCTAGTTCAGTTCTAGTTCAGTTCTAGTTCATTCTAGTTCAGTTTCTAGTTCAGTTCTAGTTCAGTTCTAGTTCAGTTCTAGTTCAGTTTCTAGTTCAGTTCTAGTTCAGTTCTAGTTCAGTTCTAGTTCAGTTCTAGTTCAGTTCTAGTTCAGTTCTAGTTCAGTTCTAGTTCAGTTCTAGTTCAGTTCTAGTTCAGTTCTAGTTCAGTTCTAGTTCAGTTCTAGTTCAGTTCTAGTTCAGTTCTAGTTCAGTTCTAGTTCAGTTCTAGTTCAGTTCTAGTTCAGTTCTAGTTCATTTCTAGTTCAGTTCAGTTCTAGTTCAGTTCTAGTTCAGTTCTAGTTCAGTTCTAGTTCAGTTCTAGTTCAGTTCTAGTTCAGTTCTAGTTCAGTTTCTAGTTCAGTTTAGTTCAGTTCTAGTTCAGTTCTGGTTCAGTTCTAGTTCAGTTCTAGTTCAGTTCTAGTTCAGTTCTAGTTATGTTCTAGTTCTAGTTCAGTTCTAGTTCTAGTTATGTTCTAGTTCAGTTCTAGTTCACTTCTAGTTCAGTTCTAGAGAAAAAATTTTTTTTTTTTTTTTTCTTTTATAAGGAAATTGACTGGTAACATGTTTTTAGACAATTGCAATATTTAACATTTGTTACAAAACAATAAAAAAAAACTATACATATTTATAGTTCTTACGAAACATATCTATTTGCATTTAAATTACCATTAAAAAACTATCTGGTTATGTTCCTGCACATGCTATGTTTTCCTTATCAAAAGCCACAACTTTTCATTAACTTTGTTTTTCTTCTTCTAATTTCTGGAAATTTTAAAATAGTACAATCTGTTTAGAAAGAAAAACAACACTTCTTTGCTTAAAACCACAATTTTTCATTTCTCCCAAAAAATATGCTAGAAAACATTTTGAATATATACAAAGGTTGTACAAAGGGCACTTGTCAGTTACAGCACATTTATTTCCTGTAATGTACTCAGAAAAAAAATTATATTCTATTTAAAAAAATATGATGAGAAAAACTAATTTCTAAATCCTTTTAGTTTTTTCCATTTGTTTATTTTGTGTTTAACAATGTGTTACTTAATTAGCATACTTTTAGGAGTTGATGTTACTTTGCAAAACTAACAGAAATGTAATATTAGACCCACCCCTATACTAATGGAAAAAGTTAATTGTTATAAATCAAAAAATAAACCTT